TAACTTTGGACAGTTTTTGTTTTCGTTCTTTCGCCCATTTGGCCCTTCGCCCATGAGAAAAGACCACTTATTTTACGCAAATACAGTAATTAACTCAATCAATATGCGCCGGTCGGTTACGTAGCAGTATTTAAACAACCGCGTATTCAGACTCGTCAGTGAGCAGACAAATACTGTATAAACCAATCAGAATCGAGACAAGGAAGAAATGAATATGTAATAAAAATTTATTTCTTAAATTTGCTTTCTTATCTCGATTCTGATTGGTTAATATCGTATTTGTCTGCTTAGTGACGAGTATGAATACGCATTGGTTTAAATACAGACCACACTTCGCGCCGGTCCGTCGAAACTTTTTCTCAAGCCGATTTCCAACCTGCATGATATCCGCTACTTTTTCCATAATTTCATTGGGACTCGGTTAGTTTCTTGGAGGCGACAGAAAAGAAAAACTGTCGAAACTCAATTGATTAATTGCCGTTCAGCTAAAGTGAATTAAATGAAGCAATTTTAATCTAATTCTGTAACGAAACACTTGAAATAAAAAATTAGTTCCAATTCGCATGCGATCAGTGACAATTTGAAATATTTGCATATTGCTAGCGTTTTTAGTATTCGGTCTATATTAATATCAAGTCCCTGTAAATGTTGGATCTACTTAACAACTTTTCCCATTTTCAGAAAGGGATGGGGGAGATTGTTAGCTAGATTAAGTTAGTCGAATTTTCGACCAATCAGAATGCAGCGAAAGTATAATTCTCAATACAAAGCTCTAGTGCTAATTTACTGTATTTATTCATAGGGGTGGAGATTCTTAAGTAGATACTATAGGGGAAAGAGATTGTTAAGTAGATCCGAATTGTTTACTTTCTTTAAGATTTTCACGCTTTCTTTACAAATTTTGGAATACTGAAGTCTGATTGACTAATTTTTATTTTCGCCCATTTGGTCGTTCGCCTATGAGGAATTCCACCTAAAAAGGGTAATTTGGGACCCCTATCTCACACTTGGTTTTTGCAGGACCCCTCTATCACACTTGCTTTCGGGCGAGGACAGTCTGGGGCATGCGTATGATGTTATGATCTTATACATAAGTCCGGTACAAGTGTGATATAGTTGTCCCTGTAAAAACCAAGTGACAAAGAGGGGTCACACAGCAGTCTAATTCCTAGCAAAACACAGCAATATGCATATAAGTGGGAGGGGGAGTATTACAACAGAGCGTGGTACAAGTGTGATAGAGGGGTTCCGAGAAACTTAACCGGGTCCCTAATATAAATAAGGGTCTCAAAATTGTTCAATTTATTTTGAACTTTCCACTTTCCTCTCACTTTTCCAAATTTCCATTTTTTCAGTTGCTTTATAGTTATTAAGGCTGAATGCGTGATGTTACGATGTAAGGTAGGTAGGGTTGTGCAGTTACTAGTAAGTAAAGTTCGTTTACTAGTAAGTTACACTTTTTTACTAGTAAGTTACTTTTACTTACTAGTAAGTTTCAAAAACTCAGGGTCTGCTTGAAAACTAGCAAGTTTGAAGACTTCATTTTACACAAAATCAAAATCCGCGAAATAATCATTATGATCATTATTATCAAGTAAAAGCAGCGTTGCAGTATATGAAAACAAGTTTATCTGCTCTTTCGACTGATAATTGAGCCTCATTTCTTTCAAAAAATTCATTTTGGTTCAACTTACTAGTAATAAGCCTTATTTTACTTACTAGTAAGTTACTAGTACATTTACTAGTAACTTACTTTCTTGTAAGTAAATCCGCTCAACCCTAAAGGTAAGGGCTGATTTGGTGGGGGGAAGGTGCACGCCCCCCCCCCCCCCCTCAGGGATTCGACCCCCTGCCGACCCAAAGAGTTCCCCCTTTGTACTAATTTGAGATATCCATTTTTGGTAACATACCCTATAATTTTTCTAAAAGCGCTGTCGGCGCCAATTTATACCAACTTTGAGGGGGGGGGGCGCCAAAAAAACGCTACTTTTACGTCAAAATGTTCCAAAAAGGGCCTAAAAACGCTTTTTTTTGCCTATTTTTCAAAAATTTGCGTGCGTGGGGGAAAGGGGTACAACTATGATAGTGGGCCTCGAAAAGGCAACTATGAAAGACAGCTTTCGCATGAATTCAGCATGTTATAAATTTGAAAACTAATTTGTGTATAAATTATTCATTTCAAAAATCTTGCGAAATATGTAGTCAGAAACTTTTCAGGGCTCTTCCAGTTCCCCCCTTTCAATTTAAGTTTTGAAAAGTCTATTTAACGTTGTCATAATGCAATGAAATTTGGCGTAGGTGGTGAACAAATCATCGACAGTTCTGAACAGATTTGTTCTTCATACTTTACAGCGTAACATCACGCGTTTAGCCGTAATAACACGTAAAACAAACATAAAACTCGGTATTTTGAAAGTAGGGAATTGGAAAAGAGCCCTTGGTACTACTATGATAGAGTGGTCCCCCGAAAAAGCAATTATGATAGACAGGTCCCGCATGCATTTCGCATGTTATAATTTTGAAAACTTATTGGTGTATAAATTATTCATTTCAAAAATCTTGCAAAATATTTTCAGCCAGAAATTTTTTAGATTAAAAATTGTAATCACTGTTGTTGATATATTGAAATTTGCTCGCTCTACTTTATTTTACGGTTTAACAACCATATAATTAGGTTGATTTATTTGTCATCAAAACCCACTATTGGCGGTTTTTTTTAAATTTTCAACCTTAATTGGTGAGGGGAGGTTTTAAGGTTTAACAAAACATGAAATTTGTTTGAAAATATACTGCGACATCTTTCTGAAAGGCGTAATCATAATTATGAAACGATTTGAGAGCTCTAGGTGTCTTATTCTCAAGGAACCTGGTTATTTTCAAGGGACCACTCTTTCATAGTAGTACCGAGCCCTTTTCAGATTGAAAATTGTAATTAATTCATTGTTCATATCAAGAAATTGTGCAATTTACCCAGAGCACGTAATTGTGGTTGGGTAAGACAGTGCCGAAGTAAGAGAGTGCCGAAAACGAAAATTTGTTAAAGAGTGCCGAAAATGAAAATTTGTTAAAGAGTGCCGAAAATGAAAATTGAGTGCCGAGGTGGGTGTAATTAGTGTTTTCAGCGAGGCATGGCCCGCTAATATTTGGCAAGGACCATACGTTCGCTCCGCTTCGCTCCGCTCACTTGAATCCGATAGGAGTGCTAGTTGTGTCTAAGGGTCTGTGTTTCAGGAATTAAAGAACTTAGTAGCATTCTATCACCCAAGCGAGGGTGCCGAAAACAAAAGAAAAGAAAGTTTTGTTTGCTCATCGATTTTGGCGCCAAAATTGAGTCTGAACAAGTTTCAAGTGTCATTATTAATTTTCCCGCCAAAAGCTAGCCTCTTAAATTGCGTTCCAATATTTCCCGCCTTTTTCGGCACTCTCTAACTTCGGCACTGTCTAACGGGTCTAGGACAACAAGCCGACGGGACTTCAAGCCGAAAGGACTTGAGGCCGAAAATTAAACTTTACAAGCACCTCAAATCAATATTTTTTCATCTAAACAACGTTGCTTTTCAAAATCGTACGCTAGTTTAGTCCATAATAAGCGTTATTTATGACAATGAATCACTTAGGATTGACATCCGTTAATAATATCAGCCGGTTTTTGAAATGCATAAATTATAAACAAGAAATTTGCCTTTAGCCGTGTTTTATTTTTCAACTTTCCTAAACATCATTTGGAGGTTTAAATTTTATGAAAACGCTGATAAATACCGACTAAAGATCATGAAAATGAGATAATCTTCAGAAAAGTGTTCAAATTAATCTTATTTCATGAATTAATGAGAAAATTTTCGGCTTGAAGTCCCTAATTTTACGATTCGGCTTGAAGTCCCGTCGGCTTGATGTCCGGCACCCCTGTCTAACGCCCCCGTAATTGTGCAAATTAGAAATTAGGAAATTTGAAAAACGAAATAGAATAATAATAATACAAAAGAATTGATAGGAGTGGGATTCGAACCCACGCATCCGAAGATACTGCGGCCTTAACGCAGCGCCTTAGACCGCTCGGCCATCCTACCTTGTTGTGATCCCATGTATAGGTTAAATTGAACAGCACTATGTCTATAGAGTAAAGTATAGTTTGTCATTATAGAATATGTTTTCACCGGTGGTAGTTAAATAAGATAACAGGCCATTAAGACTACAGATGACCGGTAAAACATGTAAATCAGGCTCTTTTCCTCACCCACCCCCACCTGCAAATTATTTTCACAAGTAAAATTACTGTTCCCACCAACCGATTGTTATGAAAATTGACATGCGGACTAATTAGGCCATGACAAGGCTCTTTTCCAGTTCCCTCCCCATTTAAAATTAGAAAGTCAATTTCAGAAAGTCAATTTAAAATTACTTTCATGTTAGAAACTGCATCTAAACGCGTCAGCGTGAACAGGTGAATGAGGTGACTAAACTTTCACAGCATTTATAACATGTAAAATAACGTGTGAGCAGTTTTTGAACAGCTTTTGTTGCTATTTTATGAGGGGGGAGGGAAACTGGAACTTCGCAACTGTTTACTTATGTTTTTGAAGTTTTGTTGAACCCATCTTTCATACTTGCTTTTTCTTGGGATTGGGACTCAATTATCATACTTCTACCATTTTTGGGACACAACTGATTGGTTGAAAGTTTTTGGGCATTCGGTCCTGGTCATGAGGATTAATCCTGTGGTTGGTAACCTCTTAAACCAGTTTCACACCAAAAGTATCGCAAAATTACAAAATGAAACTTAAATAAATTGTCGATTTTATGCATTGATCAAATTGATAGTTTGTCAAATACAATGAAATAAGAGAGCAAAGAGATTATGCATCGGCCGGGAATCGAACCCGGGTCTATCGCGTGGCAGGCGACAATTCTACCACTGAACCACCGATGCTGAAATGTAGATGATGAGAGTTGTTAATATTCGATTCTATCCAACTTATATATCTATGTGCGTTTTTGTTTAGTTGGTTCCCTGGTTATGCGTGGACTCCAGCCTCGTGCGATGGCTGCCATTCACATTTGGGCTGGCTGTTCACAAAAGCAAAAGGTGCGCCAGTAACCCTGAAGCCCAACAGGTTCTGGGGTCTGTCTCACTCGGCCCTCTCGCTGGACACGAGCATAGAAAGATACTTGCTCGGAATGCCGACTTCTGCGATGTAAAGTACTAAAAGAATGACAGCAATTGTAAAAACAAAATCATCTAATTGTGTATTGAAAAATGAGTTTGAGGCTAAATAATATCGCTATTACGTAGTTCAATTTAGAAAAATAGAAATATTTGGAAATGAATTGATTTATTTAGGACAACGCCTACAGGGTCTTTTCGGAAGGGTCAGTTTTTTTAGCAGACCAATTGGTGCTACTACGAGTCCATGATTGACTGGTCGGTAGCATAGAGTTGGAACCGGGCCTGAATTTGCGGCCCGGCCCGGCCCGGCTCGGTTGGGAAACTAAAATTTCCGTATTGACTTTTGCTGCAGAAAGGAGGGCACGATTGGCTGTCCGGATTTGCCCAGCCCTGCTACAAATTAAATTAATTGATTGCTGAACTTTTCCAATTACAATTAATTGATTGATATTACCAATTAATTGCAATTAGTTGAATGTTTTTATATTGGAATGGAGTCGACTTATTTCTTGAAAATTTTCTAGGTTTAGTTCAGCAGTTGGATCTACTTCACAATCTCACCCCCCCCCCCCCCCACACACACACACACACACACACACACACACACCACCACCATCAGACATCAGAACCCTCTTGAGCGATTTTTTAGCAGCGCAACATTTGCTTTCGATGATCGCCGTCAAGCGCTTCTGTCGATTCATCGTGAAGAACTGCTTTTTCTGAAGACGAACAACAAGTTTGGGACAAAAAGATGGTTTCTAAGCTCTGCTGAACTGATTTTGTAACTTGGCAATTAATTGATTGTTTCTTATCTATATCTATCTATCTATATCTATCTATCTGTACTATATTTAAATGCGAGTGCCAGCTATCTTCCATGTTTAAGCATAATAACTTTGCATGTTTAACGAAAGAGTTTTTTTATGTTTAAGATATATCATATATTGCAATGCTTGAAAATTTTTCAATAAGTTTTTCGCAAGGTCATTAATTTTTTAGTATTTTTTTCGAGGCCAAATTAAGTCTGTCTGTCTGTATACCCGTCGCCTAAGTTTTTAACTTTCATCTATTATCTATCTATTATTAATTATTTAAATGCGGGCTTCACTATCTCGCCATGTTTAAGCTTTTTCAACGTATTATTTTTGCATGTTTAACAAATTAATTTTTTCATGTTTAATTTTTCATCGTATATTGCAATGGTGAGGTTTTTTTTGTTTTTCCAAGCAGCCCAATAGTAGGATATTGTCAAAGTTTTTTCTAGAAGTTTTTTCTAGAAAATTAAATTGTAAAAAATTTCTCATTTTTTGGATTTCTCGCCCTGTAGTTGGGTGCTGTCAGTGTACTCTCAAGGGTTGCGAATCTTGCCTCCAATTCTCACTTCTCAAATCCTTGTAGTTTTCGAGATATGACGTTTTTTATGATTTTTTTCAAAAATTTTCAAAAACTTAGATATTAAAAATTTTCAACACGTTGAAGATCCCAATCCTGTTGTTTGATATTGTGAGGGTTCTCTCAAGCGTTGCGAATCTTGCCTTTGATTTTGGCTGCCCAAACCCGTGTAGTTTTTGAGATATGACGTTTTTCTGGATTTTTTTTTCAAAATTTTTCAGAAAACTTAGATATAAGAATTTAACAAAACTTGAAATTACCATCTCTGTAGTGAGGCTCTGTCAGGGTACTCTCAGGAGTTGCGAATTTTGCCTTCCAATATGACTGCTCAAATTCTTGTAGTTTTCGAGATATGACGTTTTTTCTGATTTTTTTTTCTTCAATTTTTAAAGCTCCCAACCCAGTAGTTGCGGAGTATCAACGTGCTATCAGGGGTTGCAAACTTTGCCTACAAATGTGGTTTTTTTATTATATGTACATTTCTTCTAAAAAAATTGGAAATTCCTAGCCCTGTAGTTGGGGGCGCTCCGAGTACTCTCAGGGCTTTTGAATCTTGCTTCCAAGTGTGACAGCTCAAATCTTTGTATTTCTGAGACATGAGGTTTTTTAATCGTTTTTCAAAAAATTTTACAGAAAACTTAAATTGATTTTTTAAATCTTGAAATTCCTAACGCTGTAGTTGGGGGCTGTCAGAGTATTCTCAGAGGTTGCGAATCTTGCTTCCAAATATGATGGCTCCAATCTTTGTCTTTTTGAGATATGACGTTTTATATGCTTTTTCAAAATATTTTTTTTTAGAAAATTTAAGTCTGAAATTTCTCAAATTTTGAAGTTCCCAACTCTGAAGTCGGGTACTGTGAGAAAACTCAGAAGTTACAAATTTTGCATTCCAATGCGACTGCTCTTTTGCTTTTAGTTTCCGAGATTAGGCGTTTTCAAAAAAAAAAACTTAAATGTTAAAAAGTTTCAAAAATTTGAAAATATCAATCCTGTAATTGGAATCTTTGAGGGTACTCTCAGGGGGCTGCAAATATTGCCTCTGAATAAGACTGCTCAAAATATTGCGGTTTTCCAGATAAGACGTTTTTTGTAATTTTTTCAAAAGAATTTTCATGAAAATTGAATTAATTTTTTTTTTCAAAGTTTGAAATTCCTAACCTGTATTTTTGGGGCTGCCACAGTAATCTCAGGGGTTGCAAATTCGGCCTTCAATTAAGAATGCCCAAATCATATCATTTTTGTTTAAGAGATAAGACAATTTTTGTGATTTTTCTGGAAGTTTTCAGAAAACTCAAATTACAAAATAATGAGTTTCGAAATGTGAATTTTTCTGGTTTTAAAAAAATATCTCATTTTTGTTTAAGAGATAAGACAATTTTTGTGATTTTTCTGGAAGTTTTCAGAAAACTCAAATTACAAAATAATGAGTTTCGAAATGTGAATTTTTCTGGTTTTAAAAAAATACCTCTTTTAGAAAACTTTGGGTGAAATTTCTCAAAATCTGAATTTCCAAACTTTGTAGTTGGGTACTGTAAGGGTATTCTCAGAAGTTGCAAATCTTGCGTCAAAACGCGACTGCTCAATTGCTTTCAGTTTCCCAGATGTGACGTTTCTTAATTCATTACAAACTTAAATATAAAAAAAAAGTCACAACTTTTTATGGTTTTTCAAAATTTGAATGATTAAAAAATCTAATGAAAAATTTTACAAAATTTGAAGTTACTCTCTGGAGTTGGAAATCTAGCGTCCAAATGCGACTGCTCAATTGCTTTCAGTTTCTCAGATGTGACGATTCTTAGTTCATTTTAAATTTTTCGAAGAACTTTTATAAAACCTCACAAAAATTTGTCTAAAAAAACTTTGCAACATTTTTAATTTTGAACCCTGTAATTGGGTGCTGTCAGAGTACACTCAAATAATACTTTTTTGAGTTGTTGAAAATTCAAAGCACCGGAGGTGCGGTACACGCTAGTATCAATTTAATTGATTGTTTTGAAGTAATTGATGTTTCTGGTTGCAATCAGTTTTTGACCACTCCTGCTGAAGTCACTCTTGCTCTGGGATGTGACAAGTGCGATAGAGGTACAAGTGTGAAAGGGTTGGGAATTCAGGAGTACCAAAATGCGAAAACAGTCGCGTTTGTACCAAAGTTCAAAAGCAGTCCCATTTGTACCAAAAATTAAAAACAGGTGCAATTGTACCAAAATCAATTATCAGTCCCTAATATCATACAGTCATGATTATATAAAATAAAAACAATCAGTCCCAAATTAAGGTATCGATTAGTTTTAAAGTTTTAAAATTAGCTGCACATACTTCCACACAAATCGGCCATTGTATACCAATAATTTTTTATTTCGCGGTTGCCAACTGTCAACAAATTTTTGAGAGCTTGGACACGTTCATTAAATATTATCAATTTTCTGATCTGTTTTGGAGCGCGCTCTCCCATTCTTATAAGCTCCAGTGGATTCTCCACAATTTTTTTCTGTTGCTTCAAAAACCGAACAACCAGTCAGAAATTAAGGGATTGACGTCGAATTTATCTATTCCAGATACTATTCTACCCCTCACTGAAGTTAATTGCTCGGAGACCTGCCGGTCTGTTTGCTCGGAGACGTTTGTATCCATGCTTTGTGGAAGTATCTTGGAGTTTTTGCATCTCCGGGTACTGAGCATTTTTTAATTCACCTCAGGCTCACTCGATAGTTCAAGAAAAAGTGGTGCAATTGCGACGCCAATATAATAATTTTGAGGGTAGCCATCGCTAGAAAAATCCATTTTTTGTTGATTTATTATTTAAAAAGCTCACTCAAAACGTCATTTTCAATTTTTTTTCTTCAAAAAACCGCCCCCTCTGTTTTTAGTTGATTAATGCTGTTCTGTTATGGTTAATAAACAAATATAGTGAAACTCATATCTATAGTTTTTTCCAGATTGATTGTTTTCGTAAACAGCTATTTTGTTTGTTTTCGCTCATTTTAATGGCTGGAATCACTCGGAACAAAAATCAGAAAAAGGTGAAAATATGAATTCCTTATACACCTTCTGTGAGTATTTCTGCTGAACGAACGATGGACGACGAAGAAGAAGTGATTACACTAGGAGATAGTACCACGGATTCATCTGCTATAGATGTTGATGAAGTGGAAAATGAACAAATTGAAGGAGAAATTATTAGCCATGAAACAACGCAGGACTACACGGTCATCATTGAGGATGAGCCGGAGACAACTGTCAGAATGCCAAGTGCAACCAGCAGTGGTCGGAGAGGTTTAACAAGTAACAATAGAAGTAGCAGTAGAACTAATATTACTAATCGTAGAACGCCAAGACCTCTGAAACGAGGTCGTGAAAACATCCAAAGTAAGAGTCCTGCTAGAAGTACACCCAAGAAAGCACAGCCAGCAGATGTGAACTTAACTACAGAAGCAGACTCTTCATGTGTTATATGCTTGGAACCGTTTGAAAATTACGGCAAACATCGAATTGCCTCTCTGAAATGTGGGCATGTTTTCGGCGAGACTTGTATCCATAAATGGTTGGACCGCGGAGCAAATGCCAAATGCCCACAATGCAATTCTGCAGCTAAGAAGAGAGACATTAGGACTATATACTGTTCTAGATTGGTGGCTCTAGATGTTGCAGAGAGAGACAAGGCATTAGAGAATTTAGAAACAGAAAGGTCATACAGAACAAGATTAGAGGCTGAAAATATGGAATTGAGGACGAAATTGTCAAATTTAGCGACTGAGTTTGACAGTTTCAAAAGCAGAATGGCAAATGAGCAGTTGAAGTTACAACAACTGAATGCAAATAGTTCTAATTCTAACCGAGCAAAAATGTATAGACCATTCCAGCAATTGCAGCTCAGTACAAAAGGAGGCTCTAGACGAGTTGTTTTCGACCCGGGTCAAAAAGTTCTCGTTGCGTCTCAATCTCTGGACTTTTTGTCTACTAATCAAGGATACGGATTACGTAAGATCAGTGGACTCGATATGAGAAGCTCGAAGCTGCTGAAATGCCACGATGATAACATCAAAGCTCTAGCTGCTTTCGATTCCAAGGTGTTGAGCGGCGCGGCCGATAAGAAACTTTGCTTGACGTGTCTCAAAAGTGACGTAGTAATTCAACAATGGACGATGCCTAGTAATGTATCGATTTGGGCTTGTGAATTCAACAGAAAAAACCCCCACATTTTGTATCTGGGAACCCAAAATGGGTCAATTTACACATACGATACAAGACAGTTATCGACTCACGTGAACTATTTTGAACCCAGCGAGAAAAGCAGAGTACCTATTACATCTTTAAGTTACGTCCCATTTGACGCTTCTGCCACGTTTAACACTGCAGGCTTACTTGTCGGAGGTTTCGATGGTTGCAAAATGGTTGAAATGAGCGAAGGTCAAAATCAACCAATTGTGCATGTACTTGGCAACGAACTGAAAGGAAACTGCACCAGTTTAAGTTATGACGCAAATTCCGCTACCATATTGGCCAGTTTTAGACCTGGGCTCAATTGTAAAAATGTCAGACATGTAGCTTCGAAATTATCCAATTTTTCCGGGAGCATTGGTTGTTCAGTGACTGATATAAGAGCAACAAAGATTCATGAGTTATATGGTGGACCTTCCATGAAGCAATTGACTAGAAGTTGCATTTATCCATCACCTAACGGAAATCCGAGACAGTTGATTATGTCAGCTTTTGACCAATCAACGGAGACTTTGATTTTCTGGGAGAGCTTAGATGGTTCCAAAGTGCAAAATCTTAAATTAAAGGACTTCGTTTGTCTTGATTTGTGTCCGAGTGAAATAAACAATGAACACTACATGACTGCTTTGTCCGATAATTCCTTGAAAATTTTCAAATACACCTAATGAGAGCTCAAGCTGTTTATTAAGTTAAATTTAATGCGTTATTTGTTCAGTGGATTTTTATTTACATTTTGATGCCAATGTAGCGTACGATGAATTGAGTTTTGTGAAACGTGTTTTTCCGAACTGTGGAAGAACTTCGGATTCAGATGTGTTTTTATTTGTACGCAAATTCCGTGTCTGTACAAAACAGTCCCATACAAAACAGTCCAATACAAAACATAGCAAAGTTCAAAAAAACAGTCCCATACAAAACAGTCCCGAAAATAGTCCAAAAAACAGTCCCATTGATCGAAGTGATAATTGTTCTAGAAGCTGATAAGTAAATTTATCTCACATTAAACACATTTTGATTCCAGCTAATCCGGATAACAATAGGTAGTATAGTAGAGAAATTAGAACAACCTAGATAACAGCAGCGGCCACTCAATAAAAGCAATAATCTTCGAAACATTAAAGTAAACGCAATTTAAGAAAGTGGACTCTTTTTTTAATTTAAGCAAAAAGAGACAAGTTGTTCAATCTGTTTCATTTGCAAACACTTGACAACACTCAATAGAAACGAAATTCACTATCTATCGATGGAAATCATACTTACAAACAAAAATTCTAGCAGACAACTCCCTTTCCTGGCGCTGCGGACAAAGTAGCTGCAATGGCCGTGTGCGTACAAAGGACGACTCCGTTGAGATCGTTAAAAATCACTGCCACTTCCCCGATCCAGCTGACATCGAAAAACGTAAGTTCAGAAAAACACTTAAAGATCGAGCAGCAGTATCCGATGTAACACCGCGACAGACTATTTTCGCAGCCCAACGTGATGTGAACCGAGAGACAGCTGTTCATATACCTAGTTATTCTGCTAATCAGCAAGCTGTAAATAGAGTTCGACGCGAAAAAAGACCAAAGGAGTTGCCATCAAAGAGTAAAAAACGACCTTCCCCGCACCAACAACGCTGTAGAAGGTTGGAACAGCAACTTCGTGAAACTGGTCAATAGTAAGCATCCATCATTCCCAAAACTGATCGAGAAGTTCCAGGACGAGCAAAAAAATGCGGAAATACTGTTGGAAAAAATGTGCGCAGGTAGCGAGACCCAAAAAAGCTAAATACCAAAAACTCGACAAAAACTTGATCACTATGATTAAGTCATACCAACCCAACGATATCATTGGGTTTTTGAAAGGATGTAGTTATAATATTAAATTTTAATCAGATTTTTCTTTTCTATTTAATTTTCACATTTATTCCATATTGCCAAGCAATAAAATTTTTCCAAGTTAATTAATTTCCTTGATTTTTCAAAATTGAGCTAGAGTCGATTTGAAACCGGCAAAATGATGAATACATACAAGGTGTTGATTTTTCTTTTCCCTCCGCGCAACCCTTTAAGGTTGAACCCTAGATATACCCGTTTTCATATTTACCCGAATTTCAACTTTTTTCGGAAAATTGGAAAATTTTTTGTGCCGCCGGAGATTCGATCCTTTGATCTCTAGAGTTTGAGACTAACGCTTTAACCACTATACCATGAGTCCTTTGATTTTCATCCGAATTATTGTTCCAAATTTGGCTCTTTGATCTTTAATTGCCACTGTTTGAGTTTTCAAAGCGTAGATTAATTCTGTCATGAAATTCAACTGGTTTTGGACTGTTTTGTATGGGACTGTTTTTTAGAACCTTTTTTTGATGTTTCGGACTCTTTTGTTTGGGACTGTTTTGTATGGGACTGTTTTGTATATGCACCGCAAATTTATGTACCTAATTCGAAAGTCAGATTGGGCTGTGTGATATATCATTTGTTCACTGACTGATATAGATAGTGTTTGTGTGCAAGGAATTGAATGCCGAAGACGCAAAACAAGAACGTTCACTGCTTAAGAAAACCGAGAAATGAAATATCGCGAATTGTACAAATAATCTCTACAGAAGCTACATTGTCCCAATCATCATACGGGGCAATTTCGCGGAACGCCAATGAATCAGACTTGAGGATGATCGAAAACATTTAGGAAAATCTTCAAAGTAGATCCTTGGCACTAAAAGTTTGAATTATTAAGAGAGATTGAAAAGATCTAATTTTTTGCCGCTATCCCTACCATGAAACACAATATTCTTTTTTTGTTTGTCGACATATTAAAGGCAGAAACGAACATAAACTCAATTCAATCTTGGAAAAACAGTTTTGCTATTATTTTTTTTTTATTTTAAAGCTCTTTCAGTTGAAACTCGAGCAGCACTGATAATTTAGGAGGAATGCTGTTTTACCACACCCTGGTTTTTTTTGGGCAAGCCTTACCAGTTTTTGATAGACTTTTTCGAAAATCTGATTTTTCATACAATTTTTTGCAGCTTGAAAGAAACTTTTTAAAATTCATTTCTGATCTTGATGTGGAAACAAACTTACTGTTCGGTTGTTTTTTTTACGCAAAATCAGGTACCTTAAAGATACGCAGTAGGTGGTTGAAGCGCCTGCCTACTTTTCTTATCTCACTAAAAAAATTCTTAATAAAAAAATGAAAAACGTGTATCAAGCTAATTTTGCAGGAACCGGCTATTCTTGTAAGAATTAGAATTTCGATGTTATTGAGTCTATATTTTTTCGTCTTAATTTTTCAAAAAAAGGATTCGAAGAGAAGTTTTTATTTTTCTAAATCAAACAGTATTTATTTGAAGCATCAAATCATTAAATTGAAATCTGAGCAGTAGTGTTTCTTTTCTTTTATGACATCAGGCAAATTTTGATATATTTTTTTGCGAATTGATTTTTTTCAATCAGTTTGAGAAACGATTAGCTTTAAAATCATTTTGTATGCCAAGAGGGTTGGAGTTATCACAAAGCTTTCACAAAATTTTTTTTTGGTAGAGGTTGGGGCTTCTTTATCAGCTTCTGAACTTGGTTTTGTGGATGTTTTTGTTGGATTGTTTTTGTCAATATCACTCAGAAGGTCAATAACTTTTGTGTATGCCAGTTTCTCGTCTTCTGCTCCTGGATTCTTGTTTGCTGGTGGTTTCGGTGGATTATAAGGCGGTGAGGTTAGTGAAGCAACATGTGTTTTAGTAGTTTGAGGGTTTAGGCTGTTTTTGCATTGCATATCCAAACTGTTATTACAGCTCCGCCATTTTCCCGGCTCATTGTTACAAAGATTTTCAAAGTTTTGGTTCGAGAACAGTCGTTTCTGGGATTTCAAAAGCTCATATTGACATACCAGCACAAAACGCTTTGTACCGCAATTCGTAACAACGCATCCAAATTTTCTACGTTTTTCGTTGAGAAGAATATCTATTATTTTGACTGATTTATCCAGTGAATTTGCGCCGGTACTTGTATTCGAAGTGTTGATCTTGTGACAAGCACCGACACTGAATGTTTCTCCGGGATACTGATACTGTTTTGTGGCACTATTGTAGTTGTAATTGAAAGTATTATAAACGATCCAGTCAAAACTACCATTAAAAGTAGATTGAGCATTCCAGTTGTATATAATTTGACCTGCCGGCGAGCTTTTGTTGCGACAACCGTTTTTGATCATACCACTTTTTGCTGCCATTGCAATGTTCACGAGGAATTGATCTTCCTTGTACATTTTCAATCCTGCGTTTTTCCTGTGCGCATTATGCACTTCCAATAAACAACCAGAAATATCCATATCATTTGATCCGCAAATTGATTTTTTCGATATTTGTCTCTTCGAAATGCTTGTATTAAAACCGAGAATTTCTGCAAAATTAATAATAGCAAAATAGCATCCAAAAATAATTTTAGTTGGCTTTGAACACATTTTTTGCTGCTACTCGGTTTAAGTTTTCAGTCCACCGGAATAGCTTCAAAAGTGTCAGGGCTTTTTTGTTCGAGTTTAATGACTCTTATTGATGAATCAAAGAAGCGCTTGCATGCAACATTATTCGGAGCCATGCATTTATAGCTCAACGCACCAGAAACGATTTTTTCCTTCAAACTTTGAATAACGCAACAAGTCAAAAATTGTTGAAAAAAAAACAATCGAGAACTTCTATTTCGTCACTCATGAATTTTTTGAGCCAATTGCTTACTATTGCAGCTGTGAAATTTATTTTGCTGCCCAAATTAATCCTACCTGGGTTGACTAAAACTTGCTTATCATACAATTTCCATATATCAAAAAGCTTCTTGTCTGACTGTTACATACATAGTAGTAGTAGTAGTAGTAGTAAAAGACTTTAATTCCATTGGTGGATACAGGGTTAATATAAATATTGAATGAACTTACGATCGACAATTTTTACAAAAACATTTGACAAAGAATGTGCATGATCTGTTTATATCAAACAAAGTTGAAGTTTTAAGCAGTAAAAATTTATTCAGTTTTGATTTGAACATTCCCAGGGGCATGTCGAAAGATATAATTTTCAGACGCAGAAGTTCATTGGCAGCACGGGGAGCTCGTACAAAGAAGTTATCGTCAGTTTTCAATTTCCTCGTGTTCGGTATGACGAATAGGCCACTCGTAGCGGAACGCGTAGGAAGCGAGCTGGTTGCACTTTTGCAGTCAACATCAATAACATTGTTATGGAGCTTCCAAAGTAGAAGAATTTCAACTCTAATCAATACATAGCTAATTGGAAGCATATTCAGATTTAGTAGCCCTGAAACATACGATGAACATTTCTTGATCCATCTTAGAACTTTGTACTGGAACAGTTCAAGCTGATGTAATAGTGTCAAAGAAGGGCACCATGCAGGAGCACCGTAAAGTAAGATTGACAGAATGAGAGTATTGTAAAGTAACTTTTTTCGACTGCAGGATACCGAGAAAGGAATATTTCGTTTCAGAAAATAAAACAATCTGGAACATTTTATCAACTTAGTATTCAGATGGGATTTCCAGAAAAGATTGTTGGAGACTATGATACCAAGATCTTTAATTTCATCAACAAATGGTAAGATGTCTGACCCGAGCAAGAATTGGATAGAATCATCATAACCACCAAAGTTCAGAACTTTACATTTGGCAGAATGAAACTGTAAGTGATTGTTAGTTGACCAATTAAAAAGAGAATCGATATCTTTTTGAACTAATGATGGAGCAGATGAGCTATTAATCTTCAGGTCGTCTGCAAATAGATAAAATTC